AAAAAAAAAAAAAGAAAAAAGAAAATCCTAATCAAACAAAATTCTAACAGCAGCTTACAGAATACCAACAGGGACCTGCCTGTAGATTCCTAGGCCCCATAATAACAAGAAACTGTTCATATTATAAGGCAACAGTTCAGAACCCATTTCTAATTTCATGTACACTTGATGGGAATTATGTGCCCTCTAAGGAAGGAGATGCCTGATTGGGGTTTGAAATGCCTGCCTAGAACTAGAAAATCTGAGGACTAGATGACCTTTATGATATAAGAAAGAACCTATAGTTCCGCTTTGACTCATCGTGTTAGAAACTAGAAGAAGAAAGGGTTTGATTGGTTTTCCTTCAAATATGTTGGTGGGTGAGGGAAGAGAGAGTGCTTTAGCAGAATCAAAGCAAAGGGCTGACTATCAAGGGCTGTCAAATTATCATCTGCGTAAGAAATTGAATACTACTAGACATCCAAAGTTATAGTCAGGCTGGCTGAGTGTCACTAAAAATCCAGATTACTGGGCCTTACCTCATTATTTGATTAGGTAGATATGCAACCAGGTTAGGACCCAAAGACCATGAATTATTATGAGAACTCCTTCCAGTTTCTTAAGCCCTTCAGCTTCCCTACAATTACTGTTGTTACCTGGTCTGTTTCTCAAAAATAATGAAAAGCACTTTTGAGGCTGTCTTCAGAAAACTGGGGAAAATGCACCCTATTATGAAGCACGTTTTTGAAACACAGAAAGATCTCAAGAGGTTAGGGTGGATTAAGTGTTAAAATTAGGAGAGGAAAGTAGTTTGAATTATTGGGGCTTGTTGTAAGAAAAGGAATAATAATGGTTTAGCTGCTATAGAAAACAGTTCGGCTATTCTGCAGAAAGTTAAACACAGAATTACTTCATGATACAAGTTGAGTATCCCTTATCATACCCAAAATACTTGGGACCGGAAGTGTTTTTGGGTTTTGTATTTTTGAATATTTCATATACATAATGAGATATCTTGGGGATGGGACTCAGGTCTAAATATGAAATTCATTTATGTTTCATATATACCTTATACGCATAGCCTGATGGTAATTTTATATAATATTTTTAATAATTTCATGCATGAAACAAAGTTTTGACTGTGTTTTGACTGCAACCCATCACATAAGGTCAGATGTGGAACTTTCTACTTGTAGCATCATGCAAGTGCTCAAAAAGTTTTGGATTTTGAAGCATTTCAGATTTTGGATTTTTGAATTAGGGATGCTCAACCTCTATAATGATTCCATTCCGAGATCTACACACAAGAGAACTGAAATCAGGTACTCAAATACATGTATATGCATATTTATAGCAGTACTATTCTCAACGGCCAAAATATGGATACCACCTAAACACCCATTAAATAATGAGTGGACAAATTGTGGTATATCTATATAATGGAATATTATTCAGCCACAAAAAAAGAATACTGATACGTGCGACAATGTGGATGATCTTCAAAAACATTATACTAATTGAAAGAAGTCAGACACAAAAGGTCACGTACAGTATGTTTTCATTTATGTGATACATTCAAATAGGCAAACCCATATAGACAGAAAGCAGACTGGTGGTTCCCAGGGATTGGGGAAAGTACAGAATGCAGGGTAATTGATGCAGAGTAATCTGGTTACTCTGGTAGGTACAGGGTTTCTTGATAAAAGTGTCTGGAACCACACAGAGGTGGTAGCTGTACAATATTGTGAATGTACTAAATGCCACTGGATTGTTCACTTTAAAATGGTTAATTGTGAATTTTATATCAAAGGAAAAAAAGATCAAAAAAAACCCAAAGGAGTGCTTTTTCAGTAGGTTTGAGTGTTTTTGTCTCATAACTCAGAAATGGGTGTTGTTCTGCACATACCTGGAAGACAAGTTTGATGTTGCCGAGATACCAAGTTTGGTTCTGGAAGTATGGGTACTTCCTCAGAAACATACTTTAAAAGCTCCTTCCCAAGATATGTTACCTGCACATAATTAAGCACAAAATTCAAAAATCATGCATTTTATAAGAGGCAAATATACCTATCTAATGAAAATTGTAATTTTTATAAAGTATCGATTATTGTATATCATGGATTGGCAAACTACAGCCCATGGCCAAATCCAGGCTCCCACCTTCTTTTGTAAATAAGGTTTTATTGGAATACAGTGATGTTCATTCATTTACTTAATGTCTATGGCTACTTTTATGCTACCATAGAATTGAGTAGCTGTGACAGACCATATGCCCATGAAGGCCAAAACATTTATAATCTGGCCCTTTACAGAAAAAAATTGTTGCCCTTTGTTGCATATCATTAATTGTCTTATCCATTCACTTACTCAACAACCATTAATCCAGCACCTGCTACTTTATAACTTTAAAAAATCGATGTTACATTGATAAAATTAAGCCATAAAAGTAATGGTACTTTTCAAGAAATCAGATATTTAACTGATTAAATTAATAACATTTCATGTCTATATATCCATGTTTTTATCTGTGTGCGAACTTAGATATTATTATCAGCCCAAAAGGTCAGAGCTTAGAAATATCTACACATGAATGGGTGGAGCTGTCGCAGACTGGCAAATATCTACCAGAAATGCTCTGGGCCCAAGGGTCTTTGGGTTCTCTACTCTTAGCTGTAAGGCAATCTAATAATATAACTCCAGAGGCTAGGCTCACTGTGGGAAAGGTATCAAGATTCAACTCAAACATCCCTTCCTCCAGGATGCCTTCCTATATCCTTTAAGCTTAAGTAATGACCTTCTTCTTCTAAGCTCCAATAACTATTGTGTTCATATTTCTGTCACAGCACTTATATATATCATTTAAATTAAATTATGTTTTAATGTATCTGTTTCCATTAAACCATAAGATCCTTGAGGGCAGGGTCTGTGTCATATTTACTTTTATAACATCAGCACTTTACATAGTGCCTCACAATACTGGGTAAAAGACTCTGAAGTCCCAATTATTAAGCAAGATTCTTAAATTCTTTGAGCCTTGGTTTGTGTGTTTGTAAAACAAGTGCCTCCAGCTTACGAAGCAGTTGTGAGGATTAAAAGAGATAATGCATGAAAAGCATTTGGCATACTGTCTAGTATGTCTGAGTGCTCAATAAATAAACTGAACAGAGTGAGGAAGGTCTAGGGGGATCAGTAAAGTACAGGCACCCTTTGAGCTCGATTCCATGACCAAACAAAGCATGCCAATCCCTCCTCACTTGTCATGGAAAGAAGTAGAGGAGAGACCCCTGAATGCCATTTGTCAGTTCTCCAAACAACCACTGAAGCAATGGATTTTGTACATGTTATGCTCCGACAATGTCCAACACACCTTACATGCCCATCAGGCTCAATGTGTTCTCACCTATATCTCAGACTTAAAATATATTTTTATCAGTTAGTGCTGGGTAATATTAGGTGACTTACACATACCACTAGGAGTAATTCAGACATACAAATAACACAGCCTTAAGAAAATCCACTGAGTTAAAAATCTACTTTCCACAAGGTAGGAATGATTTATTGAATAGGTTAATGAATAGACCTCAAATAGGCTCTAGATCACTTCTGGAAACTGCATTTCATGTTAGTGTCTGTGCAAAACTTCCAGCTGGCTAAAGCGTATGAGCAAACAGTCATCACATTTGCATATGACTCAAAATTTGAATCCTGAACTAAATGTCATTGGATCCAAATCTACGGTAGGAGGAGCTAGAGGCTAGGCTCCTTAGGCTCTTAGACTACATAGCCTCCAGTGATCTCAACAACTTTGCCATCCAAAAGCCATTTTGATGAAGGGCAGTTGATGGGATGCTACCTTTCCCCAGATGAGAACATGTAAGAGAGATGAAGCTTAGTGTAAGATGTATTCTGTGAGGATACCTGTAGGTTGTTATGCTCTTGCTTTTCTAAAAGGTAGAAGTGCAGGGGTGTTTTGTCCTAAGGCCACTGATGCTTTCCCTGAAGTGTTACAGCAAAACCGTCCTTATTTCTCAGAAATTGGCCTATGCTGATTCCCTAATATCATGTCAGAGTTAGGAAGCAGTATGGTATGTGGAGAGTGTGCACATGAGTACATATGCGTGTATGTTTGAGGTGGATGGATGACTCAGCCAGCCACTATTCTGGAAATGCAGCTAATAAGCCAAGTGAAATTATCAATTAACTTTATTTTGGTAAGGTCTTTGGAAAAAATAAAGTGTGGTATTGTCCTTATTAATTGCTGTAAGAAATGTTTCTCTATACCTTATGTACTAATATGCAACAAGAAAAAATATAAGACATAACCTGCCTTTGAATAATAAAGAGGTATCCAAGAATATATTTCCCTGCTGGGACTCCATGTTATTTGAAAGTATCAGTTGATTTTTCATATGTCTTCAGAAAAACCACTCATTAGTTTTGACTAATAGGCATCTGCTCACAGATTATCAAATGACTATTTTAATTCCACTGCAAGTTTTAAGAAGCCAGTCTTGGCCAGGCGCGGTGGCTCACACCTGTAATCCTAGCTCTCTGGGAGGTCGAGGCCGGTGGATTGTTTGAGCTCAGGAGTTCGAAACCAGCCTGAGCAAGAGCGAGACCCCATCTCTACTAAAATTAGAAAGAAATTAATTGGACAACTAAAAATATATAGAAAAATTAGCCGGGCATGGTGGCGCATGCCTGTAGTCCCAGCTACTCGGGAGGCTGAGGCAGGAGGATCACTTGAGCCCAAGAGTTTGAGGTTGCTGTGAGCTAGGCTGACGCCACGGCACTCTAGCCCAGGCAACACAGTGAGATTCTGTCTCAAAAAAAAAAAGTCTTACAAATTTTCAATACCCCAAGAGAAGAAAGTAGAAAGGATAATTGGTTTTTTTAAATCTCAGGGTAGAAAAAAGGCAAGGAAACAAAAGAAAACCGTAGGTTTTTTTTTTCAAGTTTGTTGTAATGCAAAAGACATTTTGGCTAAGAAAATAAAAATGTTTCTCAAATAAAATATTTCTTTAGAAATTCAGAATATAAGACAGAAAGAAGTTTCAAAGTGTAGTAACTGCCTTGCATGAGCTGATTCTAGGGAAATGACATAGACAAAGTTCACCTTCATAGTGCCCACCTCCCCAATCCAGGGTCTCCTTCTCCGTATCCCCAACACTTCATGCAGCCAGAGGCAAGAGACGGCTCTTCACATTATTTATATTTTCAGGATTCTAACTCCTAGATATTTGTATTTAAAAGAGGTCCATAATCTCTAACCATCTCCTTCTCCTTGCTTCCCTTCTATAATGTAGCTGAGTAGAAGCTGGCTCACAGGAGGTTTAAGACACACCGAGAGTGTAATTGTCCAGACGAACAATTTTTCTCACTTCCTATATTCCCCCCAACCTTTCCATATCTTGATATTCCTAATGATGGTGGTGGGAAGAATTTTTTTTAAAAGTGGGGGATAGGGGTAGGGGAAGGGAACTATAGAGAAAATTCAACACTAAATCCAAAGGAATAGAAAGGTTGGAAATAAGGGTAGAAGTTCATTGAGGCATCTGGATGGGAAGTATGTTTGCAGAAGAGATCTGTCTAGTGCTCCTACTTTTAAAAAGCAATTAATAATGACAATACCACACTTTTATACTTTTTAAAATAGCAACCTACTTTTCACCTGCATCAATCCACTCTTGGGTATTCATAAAATTGAACTGTCTTTGCCATTATTATGATTTTTATTGACTTTCATAGTGCAATCATATCACAGAAAAACATTTTTTCTGTGGAAGTTGGCAATTTTTGTTGCATAAGACTGAGGCTTTGCATACACTCATAAAAGTGGCTAGATAATACTGCATGCTTTTTTGAGCTCAGAGCAATTGAAAGGAATGTGGGCCTCCCTTGTGCCATTGTTATAAATGCAGAAAGTAGTGTATAGGGCATCAGAAAATCAGGTTCTAGTCCTGGTTCTGGCACTTACTGGCCTAATCAGGTCACTTAACCTCCTGAAACTCTGTTTTCACATCCATTAAACAGGGATAATAATTGATCTTTCTGCTTCGTAACGTAGTTATATAAAGGTGCTTTATAAATCACGCAGTGCCATTCAAGTCCTAGACTCTCCAAGCTGGAAAGTCTTTAAAAACCATCTAGAACTCCTAATTTTATATATAAGAAAACTGAGATTCAGAAAGATTAAATGGCTCAATCTAGATCAATGACTCTCACTCTAGGCTGCACGTTAGAATCATCTGGAATGCTTTTTTTTTTTTTTGAGATAGGGTTCCAGCTCTGTTGCCGAGGCTGGAGTGGGGTGGTGTCATCATAGCTCACTGCAACCTGAAACTCCTGGGCTCAAGTGATCCTCCTGCCTCAGCCTCCTGAATAGCTGGGACTACTAGAGATGCATGCCACCATTCCTGGCTAACTTTTCTATTCTTTGTAGAGATGGGGTCTTGCTCTTGGCTCAGGCTGGTCTTGAACTCTTGGCCTCAAGCAATCCTCCCGTCTTGGGCTCCCAGAGTGTTAGGTGTGAGCCACCACACCTGGCCTGGAATGCTTTTAAAAATATAACCTAGACTATTAGATCAAAAGCTATGGGGCTGGAGTCCACTAGGCACTGGTAGTTTTCAAAAGCCCCTCAAGTGATTCTAATGTGTAGCCATGACTGAAAACCATTGTCCAGATCATACAATGTATAAAGAGTGGAACCAGGAACTAGCTTTTTCTCCTCTCATACAGAAATCACTCTGCCACATCAGAATGGTGTCTAACAACCGGAAGGCTGCAGAAGCAGAAGTCAGTGATGCCTGCTGGAAGTAAGTACCAGGATTTCCTTGGCAAAGGAGGTATGGGTCATCTCTGTGCCTAATGGCTCTGTCACTCTGATGCAGGGCAAGACCAAGTTTTCTGGCATTTCTTGCTTAATAATCAATCACCCTGAGCCCCATACCCCACCACTATTCTCAGAACTAGTCAACAGAAATGTTTACATTTACCAATGTAGCAAAAAGCTCCTTTCATCAAGAAGTGATTATGAATTCAGGAGTTACTCCAAAATAAGAAGAGGCAGAGGTTTCTGTGGTAAACTTTAAAAAAGAAGACTTTAAAAGAGTCTTTTAAATATTGTAAAGAAACTCCCTGGGGTAATGTTTCTCATCTGAAGGTATTAACTAGAAGTACGTGAGTGTCCATAGTAATTTAAAAAATTCTGCTTTCATTTTTTGTTTAATCTAAAAAATAATCTAAGCCTGCTCAGATAATCTGTATGAATATTTTATATCCAAAAGTTGCTCTTTTTGTGCCCACGTTTGCTTGTGACTTCACTGTCACATAGGTGCGAAACAGCATGACTGGAATTGACATGGCTGATGAGAAAACACTAGAGGCAATGTGATATGCACACAAGGCATTAGTACAGAGTGAGGGCCACATAATGTCACAGCCAGATATTCAAAGGCAGGCAGAAAATGCTGTAGTGCCAATAGAGAAAAAGAGTGGGAGACTTGAGTCATCACTGGGCATACTGTAGCACAGGCATATTAAGCTCAAAAGAACCCAAACTGCAGCATTCAATACAGTATCTGTCCTGTGAGCAAGATTCAGTTTCAGCAAAACGGTGTCACCTATCACAAGTTTAAGAAACTTTGTAATAAAAAGGGATTTCCATGGACAAGAAGTTAATTATTAATATTGGACAAAGGGACTAAGGTGAACTGAAAGTAGACGGCCTGGAGACTCCAGGGGTGGGAAATAAAACTTAAGGAAATAAAAATTAAGGAAAATAAAAAATGAGAGAGACCATATAGACAAATTCCAGAATGTGCTGATATAAGTGAAGGAACTGAAACACAGCACTAGAAGCACCTGCCACAAAGGTCTAGGAGACCAAAATGCAGAGTTGGGACACAGCAGAGACTAGGAGGGATGGTGGGTAGAGCTGGGATGAATGAAAAAGAGGAGAGGAAGCTGTGCCTCCTATTACTGGTGCACTAAGACTGCCTGTAATGGCTAGTAGAGGTCAAATGTATCTTCTACTCTTCCAAACAGTAAGGGTGGATGTCTGATGATTCTTTCTTTCCTCGGTGAATCATTTTAAAACTATCCCTGAAGGGGTGCCATGGACATCTGGAAGTAGATGAACACTGGACCTCAAAGGTTTCAGTCATGACTGGGCTTTTAACTCAGAAGCCAGAACTGAGGAATAGGCTACTAAGTCTGGGAAGTCTGAATGAAACTATTTCTTTTTGGAGGACTTGCAATTCATGGATAAGGATATTTTCAAACATTAAAGTACACCATAATTTCTGTAGGTCATAGGCTCCTTGCCTATTCCTTTTGTATTTAGGAGGAGATTTTGTTTTATTTCATTAGAATAATTGTTAGGCAGATAGTGAGGGATTCTAGGTGTCCTAGGGACAAAAGTGAGTGCTGTTGCCTTGGTGCAATTACCCCACCTAGGAAGAAGGACAAGGGTGGGCCCCCAGGCCCCCATCTTGGTTCTGTCTCACCTTAATCCTGTCTTGAGCAATTGCCATACCAATCAAAGTGGTTCCATGGTGACCTCTGAACCATGAGCGAGGTCCCAATCCAGGCACTATAAAATAAGAAGCAGACCGTAACCAGGCTCTTTTTGCGCCCTTCCTTTTGCTCTCCCTTTGCTGTGATAATGGGTCTGGTTGTCATCCGTGGTGTATGTATTACACTCTGGAAACCTGTATTTTGCTCTTGCTCCATAATCCGATCTTTCTCTCCTCAATAAACCTCATTTTCGTGCTTGCCTTACTTTGGCGTGTCTGGTCATTCTTCAGCCATGAGCATGTCAAAAACCAACATTTCAGACTGAAATCTGACATATTAACATATATTAACTAAATTATTAATATGCCAATGATCCCAAATTTTCTACATGGAGTCACAAAGACCTGAAATCCTTTGAGGGGACAGAAAGGGAAGATTAGAAGTATTAAAGTTTCTGATACTAGGTGAGGAACAAAGAAGGGAAGGCACAAGCATCTGTATAACCATACCCATTGGGAATTCTGGCAAATAGGAGTTGTGGGAGAAAAAATGTAGCGTATCACTGAAGGGACACATGAGGACAAAAGCTAGCTTAGAGAGTGTTCAGATTTCTTAAAAAGGAAAAACGTTTTATCATCAAAAAAATATGTACCTTTACATTTGAATATGAAGTTAAAGATAAACTTAAGAATGACTCACCTTACTCCAAGCATAATTCCAGGTCACATAACTGTCACCTCCCAGAAGATCCTTGAGCCAAGTAACTGGGTTTTGATAAATCTGACCATTTTCTACCTTAATTTTACCACTCAATAAAACACTGGCTTTGTACGTAGTATCCTGAAGTGAAAAATCAAACAAAAATTAAAATAAAAACCAGCTGAAATACATGAACTTCTGCTTTTGACCATGACAAAGTAACAGGGACCAGATTTACCCTAACATCTGATATATTTATATAGATAGACAGACAGATATAGATATATTTAAAGTATCTGGAAATGGTCATAAAGGCATGCAGCAAATAAAGAAACATCTATTCAACAGTATCTACCAAACTTAGGTTAAAAAGGGGAGAGTCGGCTGGGCGTGGTGGCTCACGCCTGTAATCCTAGCACTCTGGGAGGCCAAGGCGGGCGGATTGTTTGAGCTCAGGAGTTCGAGATCAGTCTGAGCAAGAGTGAGACCCCGTCTCTACTAAAAATAGAAAGAAATTATCTGGACAACTAAAAATATATAGAAAAAATTAGCCGGGCATGGTGGCGCATGCCTGTAGTCCCAGCTACTCGGGAGGCTGAGACAGAAGGATCGCTTGAGCCCAGGAGTGTGAGGTTGCTGTGAGCTAGGCTGACGCCACGGCACTCACTCTAGCCAGGGCAACAGAGTGAGACTCTGTCTCAAAAAAAAAAAAAAAGGGGAGAGTCTATGGTATTTTAAGCAAGATAGCTTGCTTCTTCCCCTCTCCCAGCTCAGTGAGGTGGAGACTCTACTCCAGATCACCATAGTCAAGACCACAGGACTCCCTGTGAGAGGGCTATCTTCCTGGGAGAGATAAAACTTTAGCATTTCTCATTCTGCCCTTGGCTATCTGTTCCTAAGGCTAAGTTCCAGGCAACTGCAGGAAAAAGGTGGGGCCTCCCTTCTTCTGGCCCAGCTCTGAGTGATGAGACAGAGACCTTATCTTTGTCACAGCAACACTGATGCTAGTGGGAACCAGAGCACCCTTGCCTGGGCTTGTAAGGGGGTGGATTCAAGTTGGGAGGGGCAAGCTGAAAAGATATGAGGCTACTGCCCTCTCTCTAGTGAGTGCTCACCTCCTAAAGCAAAGGTATCACTTAGAGAGAAATCACCATTGTCCCCGCCCCCAGCCACAGGGCCATGGCTCAGAGATTTTGCCTGGGAAGAGAAGGAGGCCTTAAAGCAGATAGATACTAACCTCCTCCCAAAGGAACTAACTTCATTTGCAACAGATTATGGAGAAATTCAAGCTCAAGGGTACTATCAGAAATAGCAGAAGCTGCAGTAAAAGGCAACTGGGAGTAGAGTGGCAGATTCATTGGAGCTAATACGCTAAACTGTAGGCTGGCTGTTTTTTAAGAGACAATTGGGAAAAGAGATAGCTGGCAGGAGCTTTCCTAGGGTCATAATAAATTTCAAACACTGACCTCAGAAGCTACCCCTTTGAAGGAGCCCACATTTGATTAAATCTGTCTGTAGAGCAATTCATGCCTCAGAACATGTTAAAAACAATAGAACAATCAATGGACAATAAGTGAAGCTTCATTATTGTGTGTGGTCAGGGAAATAGAGCCACACCAAGGCTTTGGTCCCTGAAGTATAACATTGAAGTTTAACACTGAAGTGGGGAGAAATAGACTTCACTAAAACAATCTAGCCAGTAACTAAACAAACAAGTGAATAACAATAAGAATCCTAAGAGAAGGTAGGGGCCAGTATGTAGAGTTGCTAAAACACATCATCTAAAATGTCCAGTTCTAACAAAAATTATGAGACATAGAAAGAAACAGGAAAGTATGATACATACACCTGAAAAAACAAGAAAGAGAAACTACCTGTGAGAGTGAACAGTGATATGGATTTAACAAAGACTTGAAAATAATCATTATAAATATGTTCAAGGAACTAAAAAAAACCATAATTAAAAACATAAAGGCAGGGATGATAACAAGGTCTTATCAAATAGAGAATATCGATAAAGAGAAAAAAATCTATAAAAAAAGAACAAAATAGAAGTTATGGAGTTAGAAAGTATAAATAACTGAAATGAAAAATTCACTATAGAGGCTCAACAGATTTGAACTGTCAAGAAAAATAATTAGTAAACTGGGAGATAGATTGATAGAGATTATGCAAGCCAAAGAAAAGAGAGAAAAAAGAAGAAAAATGAAAATGACTTAGAGAAATGTGGGACATCATTAAGCACGCCAATATGTGCATAATGGGAGTACCAGAAGGAGAGGAACAAGAAAAAGGAGTAGAAACAATAGTTGAAGAAAATAGATGGCTAAAAAGTTCCCTAATTTATTCAAAAACATTAACCTACACATTTAGGAGGCTCAATGACCTCCAAGTAGGGTAAATGCAAAGAGATTCATAGATACATAATAAAAATGCCAAAAATCAAAAACGAGGAGAAAATATTGAAAGCAGTAAGAGAAAGATGACTCACAATTTATACGGGAACCTCAAGAAGATTAACAACTGTCTTCTTATCAAAAACAATGGAGGCCAGAGGCAGTGGGATAATATATTCAAAGTGTACAAAGAAAAAAACTATTAGCTAAGAATCCTACATCCAGCAAAGCTATCTTTCAAAAATGAAGGCAAAATAAAGACATTCCCAAATGCAAATTAAAACCACGATGAGACACTACCTTACCCAGTCAGAATGGCTATAATTAAAATGTCAAAAAACTACAGATGTTGGCACGGATGCTGTGGAAAGGGAACACTTATACACTGTTGGTGGGAATGTAAATTAGTATAACCTCTATGGAAAACAGTATAGGGATTTCTCAAAGAAATCAAACAAACAGAACTACCATTTGATTCAGCAATCCCACTATGGGCATCTACCTGAAGGAAAAGAAATCATGTCAAAAAGATACCAGCACTTGTATGTTTATTGCAGCACTATTCACAATAGTAAAGATATGGAATCAACCTAAGTGCCCATCAACCAAGGAGTAAAGAAAGTGTGGTATACATTCACCATAGAATATGACTCAGCCATAAAAAAGATGAAATAATGTCTTTCGCAGCAACTTGGATGGAACCGGATGCCATTATTCTAGGTGAAGCAATGCAGGAATGGAAAACCAAATACCACATGTTCTCACTTATAAATGAGAGCTAAGCTATGGATATGCAAGAGAATACGAAGTGGTAAAATGGAGGTTGGAGACTCACAAAGGGGAAGATTGGGAGATAGGTGAGGTTAGTAAAATTACCTATCAGGCATAATGTACACTATTTAGAGGCAGATACACTAAAAACCCAGATATCACCACTATGCAATTCATCCATGTAACCAAAAACCACTTGTACCCCTAAATCTATCAAAATATAATTAAAAAAAATAAAGACATTCTCAGATAAACAAAAACTAAGAGAATCTGTTGCTAGAAGACCTGCCTTATAAGAAATACTAAAGAAACTTCTTCAGGTTGAAAGCCAGTGTCTCCAGATGGTAATATGAATCCACATGAAAAAACACAGAGCACCAGTAAAGGTAATTATGTATTATAAAGGACAATACAAATGCAAATTTCTTCTCCTTTCTTTTCGATTATTTTTTTTTAATTATATATGAATGGTAAGTATATAATATAGTGCTAGGCCTATAACATATAGAAGTGTAACATATTTGCCAATGGTAACACAAAGGAAGTAGAGGAAGCAAAGCTTTATTGGGCTAAGGAAATTACTTCAGATGGTAACCTAAATCTATAGGAATGAATGAAAAGAACCAGAAAATATAAATTAAGAAGGTTAATATAAAAAAAGCTATAAATATACATTGCTCTCCTTTCTTCTACCACCTTCATTAAAAGTCACATAATCATATAAAGTAATAATTGTAACAACATATTATTGGATCTATAAGATTTATAAATATAATATGCATAACAATATCATAAAAAGGGGGGAAGGGAATAGTGCTATATAGGAGTAACATTCTACATTTCTCTAGAATTGTTAGTATAAATCTGAAGCTGATTCTGATAAGTATTTATTTTAAGTCCTAAAGCAACCACTATATACATAACACAAAAAATGTGGTGAAAAATGTCATTAAATTGGCCAGGTGTGGCGGCATGTGCCTGCAGTCCCAGCTACTTAGGGGGCTGAGGTACAAGGATCTCTTGAGCCCAGGAGTTTGAGGTTACAGTGAGCTATGATTGTGCCACTGCACTGCAGCCTAGGTGACACAGCGAAATTCTGTCTCTAAAAAAGTAAAAATAAAAAATGAAAAAGTCATTAGAGATATTATAATGCTACATTGGAAAATATAAAATATTCACTTAATACAAAAGAAAGCAATAAAGGAAGAGGAATAAAATGACATGATGCATATTAAGAACAAAAAGTAAAATAGATGTAAATCTGACAATATTAAAAATAACATTAAATGTTAATGGGTTAAACAATCTAATCAAAAGGCAGAAATAACAGAATGGATTAAAAAAAACAAGATCCAAATATTAATGCATATAAGGGACAGCCTTTAGATTCAAAGAAACAAGTATTAGGTCATTAAATATGAAATGTCCGATTTCGAATCAAAAGTTTAGTTTTATATCTCAAACAAGAAGCAGTACAATTAATCAAAATGTGCGCCTAAACTATTGACATAGTTTTGCCATCTTAACAGTAGATTGCTTATGCCAGCAGTGAAGAAGCCTAGAGAGTGAGTGGTGATGAAATTGCAAAAGGCGTTTTCCACAGCTTGTTGAAAATTGAGTATTTTTCCTTGCATATAAAGCACATGAAGCAAAATTAACAGAAACGAAGGGAGAAATAGACAGTTCAATGATAACAGACTTCAATACCCCACTTTCAAAATGCATAGCAGTTCCCCCTTTTCTGTAGTTGCATTTTTCGTAGTCAACTGTGGTCTGAAAATATTAAATTAAAAATTCCAGCCATAAACAATTCATAAGTTTTAAATTGTCCATCATCCTGAGTAGTCTGATGAAATCTCACACTATCCTGTTCTGTCTCACCTGGGACTTGAATCAACCCTTTCTCAAGCATATCCACACTCTCTATATGCTAACTGCTAATTAGTCACTGAGTAGCCATCTAGCTTATCAGAT